ATTAGTCAACCACTAGGTTCCCTCCTCATTTTCATTGACTGCCTCATCCTTAGTACCTTAAATGTCTTTTCTAGACTAGCCTAAAACATTTACCTCTCCATCTGTATCATCACAAATATAAAAGAATCTTGAATATACGTTGTTCCCATCCAATAAGAAACACACACACATGCACATCTGTATGTATGCAGATATATACACGTACATGTACAGTATGTGAATGTATTTCTAGATTTACCTCACAGAGTTATTGTGAGGCTCAAATGAGATAATACATTTAAGAACCACTGCAAGTTTTAAAGTGTTAAATAAATTTAGTTACAAAGTAATAAGTATTAAGTAACTTACTTAACCTCTACATCTACTTCCTCCACAAAAATAATGGGCCAATGCAATGAGATCCAGTTATCATCTGCAATATGCTTGCAATTCCAACATTAAAAATTTCATAGAGAAACAAGGAATTTAATATTCTTCAGAATTTTGGCCTTTAAGAGATGATCAGCTATTACGCTTTCCCATTTCTTGACCTATCATTGAAAAGTCCACTACCATATTAGTAGAATTTGTTGATAGTTTTCAATTTTAATAATGTTAATCAATGTTAATAAACATTGAAATCACATGGTCACATTATGACATATCATTTGTGTCCTTGCCAAAAGGACTTGAGCCATGATGCTGCCAAAACCCAGTGGAAGAGTACCCAAGATGCCATAAGAATTGCCACAGTCAACATTCTCACTTTTCATCTCCTGGCAAGAGATTATCATTTATGGTAGCACCTAGGATAGTTTCAGTGTTTGTTTACTGCTTCATTTGTGGAGGAATAGCCTAAGCAGATGTCTACTCAGCCCCTTCCTTTCCTCTTTGAAATTTCAACAAGTATGTTTCTTGTCGCTGATGAGTAATAGTTGATTTATAGGAAAAGCCTCATTTGAGAGCTGCTGGGAAAAAAATAAAAAGACATTTTGGACTTGAATTAAATGCAAATGATAATTGCTAATGTATTCAACTTGGCAAATACTAAATAGAGCACATCCTGGAAAACAATTTCTTAGTCTCCTCAATTGCAAGAAAAAAAAAAGAAATAGGAAGAGCCCTGCATCCCTATTTTTTTCATTAACATCTTTCATTAATTGGGCCATATGAAATTGTGTCAGGAGGAACAATAGTAAGATATTGTGCATCTGGCCAAATTTTTTATTTTTTCTGTCTATGAGAGAAATGGAAGAGAAAAAGAATTATATCACAAAAATTCCTCAATAGAAACCTGACCGATCTGCAGATTTTAAAAATCAACATGCCTTCTAACTTTGGGTCAGTAATCAAGGAACAAATATTTACTGAGCATTTGTTGTGAATGAGGCACTGAGCCAGTGAGAGCACACTGAATTACATGGCATGATCTCTGCCTTCAAGGAGTTTATAATCTAGTTGGGAAGAAGAAACATACCATGAGAAGCAGTGCATGGAACTGCTTTGCTCAGAATCAGGAAGACTTAAGAGTCAAATCCCCCGTCTGACTATTGCTATCTGTATGATCCTGGGCAAGTTGCTTACCTTCTCGAAGCCTCAGTTTCCCCATTTGAAAAACAGATAATAGCTGTAGTAACTGTCTCACAGGGCTGTTGTGAGGCTTAAATAAAACAATAACACCCGTGTTTTGCAAACTAAGATATCATATAAATGTTGATTTATTCTTCTTAATTATCCTTATCCATATCTATTATTTATTTATTATTTATTATTTTTACCCATTTAAAGTTTGATTGATTTCTAATCATTTGCTTTGCCACACAAGCCCACATGGTAGATAAGCAGCTTGGTGTAGTGACTACAGAGCCAGCCTCCACAATAGACAGACGAAGGCTCATGTTCTCCTTGGACATGTACTGGCTGGGTGACACTGGGCAAATCACTTAACCTCTCAGTGTTCTATCTAGGCAATTTTCATAAGACTGGAAGTTGCAGAGAAAACACTAAGCTTCATTGGCAAAAGTAATTTCTCACCTGCCACTTCCTTATACCAATGGACTAAAAGGTCTAGTTCCTATGCTTATCTCTAAAACTAGTATTATAGAGTATCTTATGTTGTGAGTTATCTTTTTATTTTTTTATTACAGGCAGTATCATAAAGGAATTCTGAAAATGAATGGATCAATATAGTCTAGGAATGTTAGTGAAGGCTTCCTTGAAAGACAGGTAGGAATTAAGCACTGAGGAGAAAATACAGCATTCTGTGCAAGGGGAGAACAAATAGTAAAAGCAAAAAGGTGATTAATGGTATATAAAGATGGATAGTTTGGGACAGACTGTAGAAGACTTTGGATATCAAGCTGAGGAACATGAACTTTATTCTGTGGGTTATAGGGAACTATTTAAGTCTATAGAGCAAAGGGCTGACATGAGAAAAACCATAATTTAGAAAGATTAATTAGTTGCTGACAGGCTAAAATAGATTAGAAGACAAAATTAATAATACACACTTTATCAAAATTTCCTGCAGATTTGGGGCAGGAATCAATCAATAAACCACTATAATTCCTTTCTAGTTCTTTCCTTCCTACTTCTCCTTTCCTTGTTAGGTGCCACTGACAGAACTAGAGAGGGAGGGTTCTATTGGTGGGAAGGGGCAGTCAGTGGGGAGTAACAGTGATGCAAAAAATAAATAAATGCATAAAAATAAACCATTGAAACAAAAGCAAAAATGCATTGTTATTGTATTGACCCACTAATAATTTTCATCTGCCATATCTCTCCAGAGTTTCCTTGATCCTTTCTCTTTCACAGCTACTGAAAGCATATGCTGTCCCTAACACCAAAGTTCTCACCTTATTTGTTTCCCCAAACATACAGTCTCTTCAAATGGGGAGATGGAAAGCTCCAGTACATGAAAATAAGTGGCCAGAAAGGAGGCGAGGTTAATTCACCATCTAGGAATGTAAAGGACTGCATATGATGAAGTTTTCTTTGGTAATTTGTTTTAAGTTAACAGTACCATTCCACTACTTTGAATTGACATAAGCAAAGTAACAAACAAATCCAAGCATTTGTCCTAGTATATTTAGTGTATTTTAAATCCGTCTTTGCTAAACAGAATTTAGCTGTCCCTTTAGTATCCTACAACAGAAGTCAATAATGGTAAAACACCAAAGTTCAGCTCATGAGAGCAACAGATAGTTATCCTAGCATTAACTCCTGGCATCAAACTCACTAGTCCGGACTTTCAGCGAATAGCTAATGGAACTCTCCATGGTCCAGTTCAGATGACAAAAGCAATTAGAGATTGGAGATACCTGGGTCCTAGCATTCCCAATGTGATGGTGTGTGTGTGTGTGCGTGCGCATGCGCACGCATGCGTGAAAATGGTTCCATTTTAGTACTATGAGCTACTCAAAAATTCTATTTTCTAGAAGGATTCTTGGATGGTCCAAATTTGGCTATACCAAGATACAAATTCATACTTAGGGTTGTCTGTTAGTGACTACTGCCTTACAGTTTAGTGGATTAGGATCTTTCTGCCTAAAATAGGAAGACCTACAAGAATGTCAACTGGAACTGGTATACATTTTAAGTTTATGAAAGCGGAAATGATGCACGCACAAATCTAATTATGATCATACTAATAGCTAATATTAATGTTGTGCTACAAGGTTCACAAAGTACTTTGTATACATTATTTCATTTGATCCTTACAACAAACCTGTTAAGTAGATACTGTTATTATTCTCATTTTACACATGAGGAAACTGGCTGAGTTGCTCAGGATCACATAACTAGTAAATGTCTGAGGCAGGATTTGAATTCAGATCTTCCCTTACATCATACCTACTTGCCTTGTATAAGAGGCATTATATAAGAGAAAAAAATCTAACGAGGACTTGGAAGGACAGACTGAAAAAATGTGATAATCCTTGATGAACTGAAATTAATTTAAATACAAGTAGTTAATTAGACAAGTTTAACTGTTTGTATCACTGTTCAATGTTAAGTTTCAACAAACTAATTTAAAATTTTTTTTAATAAAAACAGTATATATAATGTGTATCTTAGTGAAAAATAGTTTTAAGATAAACTACAAAGTCACTTATAAAATGGTTTTATACTAAAAAACAAAGAAAAAAATCCTGATAATCAGAAATTATATTCTTTGGTCTAAAACAAGTCCATTTGGGCAAATGACATTCCTGGGGCAAAAGGCAACACATTTTGCTAAAATATCTTCCATATACATAACAGTAAAGTAGTCCAATGAATAAAAAATCTTGTGCAACTGACCATTTGAGACCAGAAGCTTTTTCTTCCAGGACCAAGCAATGACAGGCACCTGGGCGAACCTTCACTAATTTACCTTAAGTTTGGGTGCTTTGAATTCCTGATACCACACTTAGACTCTTATCTTAATACGAGAACTTTTATCATCACTAATATCAATCAAATATTAAACAGAAGTCAGTATGTGTAGGACTATACACCCTTTCCTTACTGGCATAGACAATCTTTCACTCCTCTTTCTGCAAGTGAAGAAAATGATAACAGTACTATAAAGGTTTTGCCCTTTCTACAAACTTCAGATCCCCAGTGTTTGATACATCTAAATGTATCATGACTTCCACATTTCCACACCACTGTCCATATCCTTCCTATAGCCCAGGTTCTGAAAGAGGAGAAAAAAGAGAAGATGTAAATGTGGTAAGTCCTTGTCATCTATGCTATAGTCAAAGGCATCTCTGAAAAACAATGAGTTTTCCTATGGAATGTCAGTCGTGGCTACAGGAATAAAAAGAAAGAAAGCAGTTATTTGAACAAAAGAGTTGTCAAGTACATAGTCAAGGAAGCAGAGAAACAAAAGGCACCAAGAGAAATGCAGACAGATGAGGAGTTTTCCCAGAATCCACTTGAGTCTTATGTAAAAACTATCAAGTTTATCATACAGAAAATTAGCACTATAGTAGCATACATACAAAAACAAAGAGTGTCTCAGATTGTCCTCTTACCTGCCTACTTTCCCTTTGGGAGGATGATGAAGAGGAGGCACTTCTATGGGTTGGAGTGGAGGTTCTGTGAGCAGGGGATATGCCCTTTTCCTCTGAACTCATGGTTGCAGTGAGAATCTAGCCACAAGCACCAAAGACCATCCCAATCTAGTCTCAATTTCACACAGGAGGAAAGAAGTGGATAATTTTTCAGCCTTATTCCATTTTGCAGATCAGGCCTGACTTAAAAGGTTGTGGTGGACTTCAAGGTCAGCCAAATCACCTGAAAGTAAAAACAAAACAACCTATGCATAAGTAAATATCTATATGAGCCAAAGTTCCATTGCTTAAAACAGCGTTAAGCAATCAGTCAACAAGCATTTATTAAGCACATATTGTGTGCTAGATTCCTATTATGTCCTAGAATCTAAGATACACACGAGTTAGGAGATTAAATACAAAACAATGGAACAATTTCTACTCTTAAAGAGATTATATTCTAACGGGGAGAAAACAAGTACATATAAAAAGAACACACAGCATAAATATACAGTTAATAAATACAAACATATACAAAGTAGTTAAATATTAGGTAGTTTGGGAAAGAGATCATGAGCATTTGGGGGGAACCATAAATGCTTTATGCAAAAAAAGATGGAGCCTGAGCCGCATCTTAAAGGAAGAGCAGAATTTTATAAATATGTCATGTGCGAGGAGCAAAGGGAAAGCCTGTGTAGCTAAATTACAGAATGTGGGAGGAAGAGTAATGTTCAATAAAGCAAGAAGAGTAAGTTGGGCCCAGGTTATACAAGACTTTAAAAGCAAAAGATAATTTATATTTTATCAGAAGCAATAGAAAGCCATTGGAATCACTTGAGGAAAGGAGTCACATGGTTAGATCTACATTTAATAATGATAATAGCATTTATGTAGCCCCTACAATGTGCAAGGCACTGGGTTAAGCACTTTCCAAATTCTACCTCATCTGATCTTCACAATAACCCTAGGAGGTAGGGACTATTAGGAATCCCATTTTACAGTTGAAGAAATTGAGATAAGCAGAGGTAAAGTGACTTGCCCAGGGACACACAGCTAGTACATGTCTGATACTGAATTTGGACTCAGGTATTCTTGACTCTAGGCTCAGCGCTTTATACACTGTGCCACCTATCTGTCCCTGCTTAGAGAAGATTACTTTGTATAGAATGGATTGGAGTGATGAGAGACTTGAAACATGGTGACCATTTAGGTGTGGAGGTAGAAAAGGCAAGATTTGGCAGCTGATTGGACATGTGGGATTAGGAAAGTGAAGGTTCCAGGATAGCACCGAAATTACAAACCTGAGACACTGGAAGGATAGTAATGCCTATGGTGGAAATAGGGAAGTCCAGAAGAGGGGAAGGTTCAGCACTGGGACTAGAGTCAGGATGACCTCAGTTCAAATTTGGCCTTAGATACTTTCCAGTGGTTTGCCCTGGGCAAGTCACTTAACTTCTGTTTGCCTCACTTCCCTCAACTGTAAAATGGAGATCACAGTAGTGCCCACCTCCCAGGGTTGTTGTGAGGATCAAAAGAGGTAATATTTGTAAAGAGGTTAGCATAGTACCTTGCATATAGTGGTACTTAATAAATACTTGTTACCTTCCCTTCACTTCCATAGGCCATTATTCTCACCTGGAATTACCTAAATTCTTTGCACAACTTTTGGAAAGAAGGAGATCACAGGTCTAGCAGAGAGGCAGCAGAAACTGAACCCCAAGTTCAATGGAAACAATGGCATCATATTGCAATCATTGCTTGTTCATCCAAATGCACTATCAGACAAAGCAGTTACAACAGACATTTTCTGCCTGTACTGTAATGTAGCAAATCAAAGTTAAAGGACCTAATGGTCTACCCTCTGGAAGAATACCACAACCAGAAGGTCAAATCCACAAAAGGATAAGCTTTAAAAGTAATGGCAGGAGCTAAACGCATGAATCATTATCTGCACCAAGTCAACACCTTGGAATCTATGTCCCAGTATGCACTATGAAAAAAAGAATGCCCACGTTGAAAAGAAAACAGGTCACTCTCTTTTCCACTTGGACAAGAAATACTTGATCCAGGAACTAAATTTTGATGTCCTAGGGAAAAAAAGGAGCAATGGTTGGAAGTCACAGATAGATTTGCTTGAAATGGGAATGGGTTTCTTCAGGAGGGAGTGCTTTCCCTCTCAATGGAGGCAAAAGATGCTGCCCCCTTTGGTGGAATGTGGAAGCAATGTTATCCACTTTGATAGATACTTAAGTGTATGAGTTTGGGCTAGATGGTTCCATTCCAACTCAGAGATCCTCTCATTTTCCTGTGCCAGACAGTGAGAAACTAGGCTTGCTGGAGAAGGTAATAAGCAGTAACAGCAGTTTTCTGGGAAATAGATGATATAGCTGTAGCAGAGGGCAAAAAAGAAAAAACTTGGAGGAATGAATTCATCTGACGGCAGCAATAGTGGGTTAAGATAGCTAGTGTCAATCACTTTATACATAAGGGAAGGAAAACATGGTTGTAGCTTAAATGTTACCAGGTGAAGAGATGGTTGATGCAAGACGGTGAGATGACTTGATGTGCATAGAAAGTCTACTTCTTTAATAATGACAATGGACTAAGAATGAAAGAGTGAGGTAAGGCAAAAAGGCAGAGAAAATAAGATAAAACGTAAAGAGGGAATCTTAGGGAAGACAATATGAACAGTATGTACAAAACAAATACGTATAAATACATAAATACATAAATACAAAGTAATTAGGGAGAAAGTGGTAGTAGGTGGGGGAGGGGGTTGATTCATTAAAGGTCTCAAACTTGAGATTTGAAGGAAATTAGTAATTATAAGAGGCAAAGTTGAATGGAGAGTACATTCCAGGTCCCAGGTATGGAGGTCAATCTTTGCAAGGCAGAGATGGGAGAGGGAATCAGTCATGCGTGAAAGAACAGCAAAGCCCATTTGGCTGGACCACTAGCCAAACTTCTAGCTGTGCACTGGGAACTAAACTAGAACAGAGATCCAAGAGGACAGACCCCAGATTGTGTTGTTGTGGGTACTAACAGGCCTATTGAAGCTCAGATGATACTGTTCCCAGTTTCCCACCCAACATCCATTTCTAAGCTGGTCCCCCCCCCCCTCCACTCCCACTTGGCTTAAACCTTGATTCCTGATTTATACAGGTATTCTGTAACTTTTGACCTCTTGACTAATTAGAACTCTGGACTATCTCAGGCTCTACACTCCATTGCTTTAACTCTGCCTGTGACCTCTATCTATCTGGTTTGAACCCAATCTTGGATTTAAAATCCTGCCCATGTCCTGGAGTTCTTCCTTCACTCATTGGACTCCAACCTCTGTTTCACCTTCAGAGCTCTGTTGACCATTTCTCTTTGGCCCAACTCCCAGTCTTGGCCTGGTTGGAGGCGACCCATGACCCAGCACCAACAGAAGGTTGAATATGCTAATATGCCTGGCAGAAGCAAGCTATGTGTCATCCACATAGGTTCATGGTGCCAGGGAATTAAGTTGTTAAAAAATATTGGGACTTCTTCTATTAGTGCTATTGGTTCAAAAAACTGAGATTTAGCTAGCAGTTAGTCTTTAATAAACATTTATTAAGTGTCTACTATGTGCCAGGCACTGACCCCCTGAACTAGACTAACCCGTGTACCTGAATCTGCAACTAGTTTCTGGATCCCGTCTTCCACCACTTGGAGGACCTCATTTATCCATTCTTTCACAAAGCATTTATTGTGTACTGTGATAGGTGCTAAGGATACAAAGGAAAAGATAAGGCAGTCTGTGCTCCCAAAGAGTTTCTAATCTATTGGATGTAGTGGTCAGCCAGTCCCTAATCAGAAAGTTCCCCTAATGGGCCACCTGCTCAGATTCTCTTGCCAAAATTCTTTACTGTTATTCTGTAGATCAGAAAGGTTGGAGTCTCAGCATTTTGGTTGTCGCCAGTGCTAGCTTCCCACACTGTTCTCTAGTCTAGCAGATGCTTTGGCCAAGAGGTCAATCAAACAGACAACTATAGGAATCATAGGGGGAGAAGGGAGACAGGGGATTGCAAACTACACAAGGGTACTGTAAGTAATAAGTATGTGATTTTGCTTTTTTAGTTTGGGATAAACTTAAAATATTTAAAGTGTCTTCTAGATGGTTCCTATTTTCACTTCCCTTCTATAGCACTAAGCCTTATGTGCAAATACAACCTGCTTGTATCCCAGCTTCTCTTTCCCTTCCTTTGCTAGTACATTTACTGAGCACCTACTATTTACCAGGCACTGTGCCAAGTGTTGGGGATACAGAAAGAGGCAAAAAAAATAGGCCCTGCCATCATGAAGCTTGCCATCTAATGGGAGAGTCAACGTGCAAACAAAAATATACAAAGCAAGCAGATCTTTTTCTGTCAGGACCTAGATTCATTTTCTTAGTGTCAGGTAGAAAATTTTTTTTCAGGCACCTGAATCCCTGACGCAACCAGCGTCCCTTGGATATTCTACCTGCAGAAAAGTTCCTTGACTTTGTTCCCCTTCTCAGGATTTTTTGGTGAATAATTTGTGGAGCAAACTTTGTGCGCTTTTCTTTGATTTTGTTCTAGAAGAGGATCCTCCATTCTCGATAAGCACTGCCTGAGTTTCCAGCTCTTTTGATTATTTCCAATTTATCCTGTACACAGCTTATTTGTACATAGTTGTCTGCCTTTGGTCTCCCTCATTAGACCATGAGCGTCTAGAAGTCAGGGATTGTCTTTTACTTTTCCTTGTATCTTTAGCACCTAGCACAGTGCATAATAAAATGAATGGATCAGTGAAGTCATCCAAATTGTAATCCAAAAAGCAGTTACAGACTGTTTTTTGCTCAAGGATCAGATAGTCTATTCCAGGAGTCTATTCCATAGTGCTGTGAACTAAGAATGGTTTGTACATTTGAAAATAAAACAAAACTTTCCAAAGTGCAAAAACCATCTTAGATCCAAGACAAGACAAAAGCAGGTGGCAGGTCAGATTTAGCCTACAGGCCACAGTTTGCTGACCTCTGGCCTAATCAGTTGTTTTCACTGGCTACAGATTGGGAGGGTTTGAGGTGGAAGGGGGAGTTTCTCTTGAATCACTTTGATCTCTTTGAAGATGGTCATCTCTTTCCCCTCACTCCGGTGATCGTTTCCTAATGGACCTTGCACAGGACGAATGAAACAGAGTGCAAACCATCGGCCCTAAACCTGAGCAAGTTCCTATGTAAATTTTGCATATTAATGA